TGTGCAGGTATAAAGACACATTTGTATATATTTTTGTGTACATTTATTTTTTTAAGCTATTTGATTAACTTTTATTTTTTATTATTCAATATTTTACTAACACAATAGTCAAATAGCAACCTGTTTTTGTGTGAATTGCTATGTCAGTCAAATGTTCAATTTTGGAATAAAGGGGTGGAAATTAAAACGTTGATTTTTTTTTTTCCAATTCATCGATTAATCAAAAAAAATTATCGGCCGATGAATCGATTATTGAAATAATCGTTAGTTGCAGCCCTACACGGCTCAGATGTGTGTCTGTCTCTGCGCAGCTTAGGACGTGTCTCCGTCCATCCCCGCTGACAAAAATCACGGACAAGATGAGCACCCCACCATGGCAAGTTATCTAGGGGAAACACTGACAGTCCTCTTATTTAGGCTTATTTGCTACAAAAATTGTGTAACATCTATAAGAGCTGGTGACATATATTCAGTAACAGCCATATGATATGCATAGCACTTTAAATTTTAATAAATGAAAAGTGTTAAATGTTATTTATTAGCATTAGTCACCTGCAATGCTGTCTCACTTGTGGAGGTTTGTTCCAGGTTCCTATAGCTGCAGTGTGGGATCCTCTGCACTCTTGTGCATGAAGGACAGACTTTTTAAGTTCAAAGTTTTTGTCTATCCATTGTTCCGTAAGACTAATCATGCTAATGGGGCTAACACGACGTCCAAATGTCTGTGATAAAACTCACCCAAGTGCTATTGGCTATTAGCTTCTCAACGACGTCGGAAATGACAGCTTGTAACTCGAGTAAGGTTGTCGGAAAAATATCCCCGGCTAGGGACGATGTAGCGAGGCTCAACATAATCCAAAATTCTTTGGAATCGGACATCCTCACCAACGAAAAAAACTTCCACACCACCGACATTTTGAATTTTCCTCTCCGTCATGAGATCAGGTAGGTATGCGTGATGTCATCACATTGTGCTGCCGCTGCATGCACTGGGTCACTGGGTTGTCATACAAAAACAGCATCTTTTGTATCGGTGAGTTACTTTGATGGAATGGTCGATATCCGATATCGAACTTTAACGCTAATTTCGGTCGATACGTCCACCATGAACATAACACATTAAGGCGGACATGGGACACAAATATGGGGGTTCAAAACATTTAATTTATTCAAAGAGACTGCTTCCTGTAAAAAAGAACGATTATGAATCCCCAATTCCTATGTCCACCCAAGAAACACAAAAACCCAAAGTAACAGCTTAAAGGAGGACCTGGTGAACCGGCCAAACCAAACAAAAAGGTACAGCAGCGGGCCAACCCTATACAGGGCCGTCAAAGCCACTGCTGATACCAGACTAGAGTTACAAAAAAAAAAACACAAAAAAAAACACCTATTACAAAAGGAAGAGCGAAAACAGGACTACCGGCCCCACCAGGCTAAAGCCACTACAAAAAAACAACAACAAAAAAAACGTACAAGAAGGTAACAAAAATTACCTGTGGTAGCTGAAGCTGCCAGCTGCAGGCCACAGCACCAGGATCAGGACAAAAAACAAAGGCCACAGAAAATACAGTGTGGCCAAGAAAAAGGTCTAAACAAGAAGGTCCAAAAAGAAAGAATGAGAGGTCCAAAAATGTGGGAGCATGAGCGAGTTCACAAAACAGAGCGAGTCTGAGAGAGCGAGCACCCTGAAACCAGCCTATTCATGGGAGGGCAGAAAAGGCCACAGCTCAAAACAATTAAAGGCTGATTAGCCAACCCAAAATCTGTCCAAAGGGACAAAATAATAAGGCCAATGTGCCCCGAGCACCGATAATATTGTGCATCCCTAATTTAAACATCGGAAAACGTTTGTTAAAGCACATCACCTACTGCCCGTCATGCCAGGGTTTGAATGAATCTTTATGTGAATACAGAAATAAAAGAAGTCAAACTGTGACGTTAAGCACGATAAACGTCACCAACATCGAGCTCAAAGTTTACTCACCTCCACGTTGGTAGAATCTGACGAAGTCTTGATAATGAGTCCAACAACATACTTTTTAATGCCTGGGAAGTAGAAAAAGTTCCCATGAGGACAGTATGGGCACTCAAACTAAACGTTTGGGTCACATGATCAACTGCCTGGAGCACATCATTCAGTAAGCGTCCTACATGCAGCTAACCATCTAATCCACCTCTGTGCACAGAAAGAGTCTGTGGTTTAGTTCAGCTCAACTTGAAAACCTTTCTTCAAACCTACGTTTCATATGTGCACGAGACGTGCTGGAGGGAGAGGAGCTGAAGACAAGGAGGAAGAGTCAAACCTGCACTGGATCGGACCCTTACACTATGGGTGTAACATGCTGGTGAAGATTCTCAGTCATCCAGGACATGATGAATTCAAAAAGCGTTCAATACAACAACAACTGGACTTTATTTGTAACAGAAGACGTTTCGCTCCTCATCCGAGGAGCT